TGCAAACCACAGGGCACGATGGGTGGAGGAAAGACTATCACTTCAAAGCATTGGTCTGCTTAATAACTAACTTGTTGCGGCGAAGGTGAGTGACTTATTGCGCTCAAATCATTCCGTCTCTCCTTAGATTGACGAACACTTAAGGGACTTCAGTCTTGTCATTGGTGATGGCGTGTTGCCTTTCCCACGACTCCCGCTCCCCTCCCCTCGAGTGGACATTGGCAGTCAAAGGTGAGTGCGACTTGACGGCTGTACTTCTCGGTTCCGTGTCGTTTAGTTTAGGAAACAGACGGCGTGAGGTGAGAGGGTGAGTGAGTTTGGCATAAGGAGAGGGTGGAAGTAGATGAGGAGATGGATGAGATAGGGCAGGCAAGATGTGGAATGCGAACCGCTTAACCGTGTTGATGTTTGCATTGAAGTAGAGGCGTCACCTCGACCAACCTTGGTGCAGGGAAGTCTCGTGTGAAGCTGTACGTGGGTGGTTTGAGGTTGGACCACACGGAGGCTCAGTTGAGACAATACTTTGCTCGCTACGGTGCCCTCACCGAGTGCTACGTTGCGCGCGACTTCAAGACTAAGGCGTCGAGGTGCTACGCTTTTGTAACCTTTCGAGAGGAGGCGCACGCCTCTCGCGCACTGGCTGACTGTCCACACTTTATCGAAGGTGATCCTGTGAGTGTGAGGCCCTTCAATTTAAAGACGAAGGAGAAGATGGTCATCCCCTCTGCTGTGTAGGTTGGTCCTTTTTGTTATTGGTGTTGGGGACCTGGGAAGTCCATTTTCATGTCCCCAGCCTTATGCGTCAGCTTTCATTTTCATGTTGTTACGCCTTTTCTGCTTATTTGTACTCCAACCCTCTGGACTCAAACGACCGCGACACATGTGAGGTAGCAGTACGAGAGGGTGTGAAAAAGAGTCCAAAGCAAGTAGGTTGATCAGTTGGCTGTCTGTTAGATGCAGTGAGGCGGAGAGGTGGACTGAAGTGGGGATGAAGGAGGGAAATGGTAAGAAAAGTGAAAGGAAGGGGGAAGAAGGTCGAGAACGTGAAATGCAGTAGTGTTGCTTGGACCTCCAATGGAGCATGTGATGTTGAAGGAGTTATGAATGCAGTTTGGTGAGGGTTTTGAAGCCATTTCCCCACCTATGCAAGGCGCATTGCGATTGGAGTAATGTGCAGGTGGTTGTGAGAGGGCAGGAATGAGATGGAGAAAGTGGTGAGGGGCATTTGGTTGTCCTCTGAGAAGGTTGGTAATGTGCTTGTTTCAGGGACAAGGACGCGACGAAGGTGGAAAACGCAGGCGAGGGAGGAGCTGCTGCAGGTGGTAGACCAAAAGTGCATGAATTGTGTCTACGCGTTGCTAGGCTGGAATTGTCAACCACGCAGCAGGACCTAAGCGACTACTTCTCTCAGTACGGCCCAATCGCAAGCGTGAACCTAACACCGGGCGTTGGTGGTAAGGTGCCGGGGGGCACCGCTTTGGTGCACATGAGGACACCACAAGGAGTGGAGGCTGTTCTCAGGGCTTGCCCTCACCAGCTGTGTGGAAAGGAGATTTTTGTGACACCTGCGTTTTCGCGGACCTCGAGGTGGGTTGCGTGGTTGCTGTGGCAGTGTGATGCATGTTTGGGTGGATCTAACGCCTACATGCATGCATTGGCAGGAGGGTATCGTCTCGCCGTGGCAAAGAAACGGGACATCGGGTGGTTGTTCATGATCTCCCACTTCAGGCAAGTGCGGAGCGCATTAAATCAGTGTTTGATCGATTCGGTAAAGTCGAATGTTTGACGGTGAATAAAGCAGCGCGGAAGGCTTTCGTCCACTACGCCTCCATGGAGGCGGTGAAGAGGGTGATGGCGGCGACTCCTCTACGCCTCGAGGATGTGGACCTTCGCGTCTCTTTGACAGATGTGCTTGATTGGACGTTGTGAGGTGGACTTACTGCATTTCTTGTACGTGCTAAAATGGTGTTGCCCGCCCCTCATGTCTTTATTGGACCTTTCTTCTTACTATTGTCGCAAGTGTGGTGAAGTTGATTTGTGTCGACTGGCGTGAGGAATGTATTGCTAGTTTACTGAAGTCATTCTATTAGCCGTTGATGGGGCTGAGCTGAGGAGCGATTCTGCAGGAGGTGCGGTTACGACCAATAAGAAGTGAATCTTTCATGAAATAGATGTAAATTGCTTTGTCGATGGTACTGGTCTTCGCA